CCGCCTGACTTCTTCGTCCCCGCTGCCTTCACCACGGTGTATGACGTGGACGATGACGACGACCTGCTGTACGACGACGCCGAGGAGGATGAGGAGTTTCCGGAGCTCGACCCCGACATGCTAGCCAACCCCGAGCACCGATGGGACATCTCGACGATGACGGTGAAGGAGGCGTTGGCGAGCTGGAAGGGCCCGGCGGTGAAGACCGCCATGGAGGAGGAGATTCGAGGCCTCCTCGACATGGGCACTTGGGAGCTGGTCGAACGCCCGCCGGGAGTGAACGTCATGAAGAACCGGTGGGTGTTGACGACGAAGTACCACATCGACGACACCGTCGAGCGAGAGAAGGCGAGGCTGGTCGTGAAGGGCTTCACACAGGTGTATGGCGCCGACTACGACGAGACGTTCGCGCCGGTGAGCAGCTACGTCACGCTGAGGATCTTCCTCAGCATCGTCGCCGTCCTCAACCTCAACCTGATGCAGCTCGACATGAAGAACGCCTTCCTGCAGAGCAAGCTCGATCGGGTGCTGTACATGTCTCAGCCGGACTACTTCAATGACGGAACCGGCCGGGTGTGTAAGCTGCTGAAGAGCCTGTACGGGCTGAAGCAGTCGCCGCTGTTGTGGTACTTGGCGCTCAACGATGTGCTGGTCGGCGCCGGGTGGAAGAAGAGCCAGGTCGACGAGGCTCTTTACTTCAAGGTCGGCGAGGGAGGAGTGGCCTGCTCGGTGCTGGTCTACGTCGACGACCTGCTTGCCGCCAGCAGCAGCGCTGCGATGCTGAAGGAGCTGAAGGAGCTGCTGGAAGCTGCCTTCGAGCTGCGCGAGATCTCGCCGGTGCAGAAGTACCTCGGGCTGGAGATCGTACGCGACAGGTCGGCGGGGAAGCTTTCGCTGCACCAGCAGGGCTACGCCGACAAGCTGCGTAGGCGCTTCCTCGACGAGGAGCAGACCGGGCGCACCCCGAAGACACCGGTCTCGGTCGGTGCCTACGCCGAGCTCACCTTCGATGACGAGGAGGCGCGGGAACGGCAGGAGGAGGAGTACCGGCAGAAGGTCGGCTCGCTGCAGTTCGCGGCGACGACGACGAGGCCGGACGTTGCCTTCGCCTGCAGCAAGCTGGGGAGCGGCCTCACGGTGAGGAGCGACCAGCACTGGCGCGAGGTCGACCGCTGCCTCGCCTACCTCGCTAACACGCGTGACACCGCCCTGGAGTTCGGCGGTGGACCTGAGTCGCTGGAGCTGGTCGGCTACGTGGACGCCGACGACGCGGGTGACAAGCAGAACAGGACGAGCACGGGTGGCTACGTGTTCGTCTATGGAGAGGCCACAATCTCCTGGTCGAGCCAGCGCATCAAGTGTGCGACGTTGTCATCGACTGAGTCGGAGTACGTGGCAGCCACCGAAGCCGGCAAGGAAGGACGCCGACTTCGCTTCCTCCTTGCAGAGTTCCGGCAGCTGGATGCCGGGAAGCCGACCGTCCTTCGGGTGGACAACAAGTCGGCCATCACAGTCGTCGAGGGCATGGGGTTGACGGGCAACCTCAAGCACATGGAGCGGCGACAGGCCTGGCTGCAGCACATGGTGAAGCGCGGGAAGTTCTCGCTGAGGTACATCCCGACCACTGAGCAGCCGGCCGACTTCCTGACAAAGGCGCTGCACTATCCGGCCTTCAACCGGTGCTCTGTCGCCATCGGCCAGGTGCGCTTGGCCGACGTGGGCGACGAAGATGACAACGTGCAGCAGTAGGTGCCATGCCTTCTTGCATGGCTGGTGCGGTGGACGACGTGCTGTTTGTTGGGTGCACGTCGACAAGCTATTCTCCGAGGAGTACTGCCGAGTGGACTTGGGGGGACCAAGCGTGAACGCGGCAGGGGAGTGTCAACGGGAGTTGTGTGTTGGCCCCGTCCACGCTTGGGCGGAGCCGACTTTGTGGTGGGGTGTACGGAAGGTACAGCCGACTTGCAGCAGTGGGGACGCCGACTTGGACGAGCTTGTCGACGGGGTTGGTCGACTTGCACGGCGCCACTGCAATGCCGCCGACTTGGGAAGCCGGCGGCCGACTTCAACTGGTGGTCGGCGATGTGGCACGTCGACCTGGAAGTCGGCACCGACTTGCAAGGTCACCGACTTGCAAGGTCACCGACTTGCAAGGTCACCGACTTGCAAGATCACCGACTTGCAAGGTCACCGACTTGCAAGGTCACCGACTTGCAAGGTCACCGACTTGCAAGGTCACCGACTTGCAAGTCGGCGCCGACTTGGGAGGACGCCGACTTCGAGAGGTCAGCCTGGAAGTCGGCGCCGACGTAGAAGGGGCGTCGACCTAGTGACGTCGACGTGGAGCTGGTCGACCAGAGGAGTGGTCGACCTGGTGAGGTCGACTTGGTGTGGTTGTCGACTTGGGAGGTCGACGAGCACATACAGGAGCAGCTGGTCGACATAGTTGCCCGGTCGACCAGGATACCTGGGTGACGAGGTTCTGCGAAGGAGTGCGACGGTCACCCAGGCGAAGTTGGCGAGACCGACCTCCATGGTGGTATCCCGAGGTCGTCGTGGCGGATCAGAGGCAGTCGCTAGCCCGAGGTTGACCTGGTGTGTGCGCTGTGCAGATGACGAGACTTTGCATGCCAATCATCTGCGCGCACCTGCAAAGCGGGTGCACTGCTGTCCTGCGTGAGCAATGCTGGCACACCGTCAACCTGCAGCGTTGGCAAGCTGTCGACTTTGCACTGCTGGAGAGCGGTCGACCAAGCTGTGCTGGCAGTCGACCAACCTGAATGCTAGCTCTGATGTAGTCTTGCCATGCCAACTTGATTGTACTATTATTGACAACTTTCTCTAGTGAAACTCTTGCCAAATTGCCCCGTGAACTAGCAAGCAGTGTGAGCACTAGGAAAACGTCTAAGGACCAACGAACGCAGACATCACACGAGCACACGTGCCTAGCCAGTACCCCAAGCTCCCGTTGTAGTAGTTCTCTCCGCAGCTGCGCCGCCCTCTTGGCTTCACTGGGACTTTTCCTCCTGGGACCCAGTGGAGCCTTCGGCGGCCGGTCTACGTTCTCCGCCAGGCACCGTGTGAGTGGCACGACACACTGAGGACTACACTTGCGGCTCTTGGGTTTGCTCCCTCCACTGTTGACCCGTCGCTGTTTCTACGCACCGACACTTCTCTGCCGCCGTTCTACATCCTCGTGTACGTCGACGACTTGGTCTTTGCCATAGCTGACACTGCTGGACTCGCCCACGTGAAGTCCGAGCTGCAGAAGAGACACACGTGCACAGACTTGGGTGAACTGCGTAGCTACCTTGGCTTGCAGATCACCCGGGACAGAGCACGCCGCACCATCACCCTGACTCAGTCACACATGGTGCAGCAGGTCCTTCAGCGCTTAGGCTTCACGTACTCCTCGCCTCAGGCCACTCCTCTGTCTACTCCCCACTCGCTCTCAGCTCTGCCTTCGGATGAGTCCGTAGAGTCAAGTGGCCCGTACCCAGAGCTTGTTGGCTGCCTCATGTACCTGATGACCTGCACATGACCTGACCTTGCATACCCTCTTAGCATTCTCGCACGCTATGTTGCTCCTGGGAGACACCGACCAGAGCACATGGCTGCAGCGAAGAGGGTGTTGCGCTACTTGTGCAGTACGTCGGGCATGGGGCTAGTGCTTGGAGGGCGGAGTCCAGCGGTCCTCACTGGTCACGCAGACGCTTCTTGGGCTGACGACCAGGCTACGCAGCGGTCGTCACAGGGTTACACCTTCAGCCTTGGTTCCGGCTCTGTTTCGTGGCGGGCTACTCGCTCGTCTTCTGTTCTCGGCTCCAGTTGTGAGGCTGAGATCTACGCAGGGGCCATGGCTGCTCAGGAGCTTTGCTGGCTCACCTACCTGCTGATCGACCTTGGAGAGCCGCCTCGTTCTCCTCCAGTCCTGTACGTAGACAACAAGGCCATGCTGACCTTGTGTCAAGAGCAGAGACTGGAGCACAGAACAAAGCACATTGCTCTCCGCTACTTCCTTGCTCGTGAGCTACAGCAGCGTGGTCAGTTGCGACTTGCGTACGTGGCCTCCGAGGCCAACACTGCTGATGTCTTCACCAAGGCACTTCCACCTTGTGATCATCAGCAAATCTGTACCCAGCTGGGTCTTGTGTCTGTCTTGCCTCACTTGCTCTCCTCTTGACCCTCTTTGTACTGTTACATATATATATTGCTACTCTTGCTTGTCTAGCCTTATATATATATGTACTCCTGCATGTGAACTGGCCTTGTGGCCTTGAACTTGTGCTCGGAATGTGTGGTGACTTTGTGATCCACCCTGAGCTTGCTTTGCTTTGCTTTACTTGACTGGTCTTGTGACCCCTAGTTCTCCCCCACTTCGCCTATGGGGGTGTGTCAAACATTATATATGTCGTAGTTGTTTAGGCTACAGTGGGTTAGCCTATAGGGGGCACACAATTCTAGGGTTTGCTACTTGTACTCATTTCACTGTTAGTTCATTCATTCCTGTTCAACACACCTTACTTCTTCCTCCTCCTATTTCCTCTCCTTCTCTACTAACCTTCCACACCATCCACCCCTTCACCCTCCTCCTCCTCTCCTCTCTCCCTTCATTCCCCTCCCCATCTCACTCTCTCCTCCGCCTATCTTCTCTCGTCTACTACTGCAGCTGGTTGCCGGCTTTGCTTCATCATTTTGCTCATCAATACCCCTCCTCACCATCCGCCCCTTCACCCTCCTCCTCCTCCTCTCTTTTCTCCCTTCATTCCCCTCCCCATCGCACTCTCTCCTCCGCCTCTCTTCTCTCATCTACTGCTGCAGCTGGTTGCCGGCTTTGCTTCGTAATCTTGCTCATCAAGACCTACCCCTCCTCACCATCCGCCCCTTCACCCTCCTCCTCCTCTCTTCTCTCCCTTCATTCCCCTACCCATCTCATTCTCTCCTCCGCCTCTCTCCTCTCCTCTACTGCTGCAGCTGGTTGCCAACCTTGCTTCGTAGCCATGCTCCTTCCCTACTGTGTTCCTCCACCTCTATTTTCTCCCCTCAGCGGCGCAGCAGCAGACTACTCTCCTGTTATCCCACCTCCTCTTATTTCTCCTCACAGTGGCGCAGTAGCAGACTACTCCGCCATTATTCTTCCTCCTCCTTTTTCTCCCCCCAGCGGCGCAGCAGCAGACTACTCCTCCATTATCCCTCCTCTTATTTCTCCCCTCAGCGGCGCACCAGCAGACTACTCCGCCATTATCCCTCCTCCTCTTATTCCCCCCCTCAGCGGCACAGCAGCAGACTACTCCGCCGTTATCCCTCCTCTTATGTCTCCCTTCAACGGCGCAGCAGCAGACTACTCTGTCGTTATCCCTCCTCCTCTTATTTCTCCCCTCAATGGCTTAGCAGTTGACTACCTCGTCCCTATTCCTCCTCCTCTTTTATCTCCCCACATTTGCTCCATTGCTACCCCCTTCCCCCGCAGGTCGACTGTGAGTTTGGTGGGGCACATGGATAGAAAGTGGTCCCTGACTGAGGAAAAGGGAGCGCAACTCGGTACCGGGCGTCACTAGTGCGGAGGTGAGTAATGAGGTCAGCGACTGTGGCAAAGGCGGCCAGGTCAGGGAACAGGTACGATAGCATGAGGCGGTTGAGGGTAGCAGTGGCAGGCGAGGAGTAGCGCGCGACGATAACGTCATACAAAGACTTAGCAGTCTTGTACAGGCCAAAGTGCGCGCGCTTAGTAGAAGGCAGGTGACTACGAACAACAAGGCGAGCAACAGCGTCACGAGTAGTCCACTGCGAGCGAACTATACTGTCAGCATCGGTAGCAGGTGCAGCAGAGGCGCCAGACGTGAGATAAAAAGGCGAGACTCCGTCCTTGCTATCGCACTGAAGAAACAGGTGCAAATCATCTACCCAGACATTGAAGGCAACTGCACGTCCCTCAGCATCGAAGGTAAGAACCGTAGGGCTATCCATGGCGGCAGTAGTAGCAGTGGCAGCAGTAGCAGCAGTAGCAGCAGAAACAGCAGTAGCAGCAGGAGCAGCGCGGGCAGGGCAGCGCGGCTCAGTAGGGCAGTGCGGCTCGGCTCGGTAGGGCGGCGCGGCTCGGCTAGGCGGCGCGGCTCGGCGGAGAGGCGCGGCTTGGAGGAGCGGCGCGGCTTGTGTCAAACATTATATGTTTATGTGGTTCTAGGCTGTAGTGGGTTACACCTTAGGGGGTACACCAGATTAGGGTTTCATATTTGTACTCTTGTTCCTGTTAGTCACACCATTCTCGTTTCTCATTCTGACATGGTATTACGAGCCTAGGTTCCACCTAGGACCGAAACGTTAGGGCCCACCGTTTCCGCTAGCCGCGCCCTCGTGCGCCGCCTTTTCCTAGCGCCCTCGTGCGCCTCGTTCCTAGCGTCGCCCCTTCAGGCCCCTCACGGCCCCTCGCGCCGCCCCTTAAGGCCTCTCACGGCCCCGTCTTACGACCCCGCGCTAGCCCCTTAAGGCCCCGCGTCGGCCCCGCGCTAGCCTCTCACGGCCCCCTACGGCCTCGCGCTAGCCCCGAACGGCCCCGTGCGGCCCCGCGCTAGCCTCCCACGGCCCACCTACGGCCCCGCGCTAGCCTCCTACGGCCCCGATTGGCCCCGCGCTAGCCCCGAACGGCCCCGTGCAGCCCCCGCGCTAGCCTCTCACGGCCCCTTAAGGCCCCGCGCTAGCCCCCTACGGCCCCGGATCGACCCCGCGCTAGCCTCTCACGGCCCCCGAATGGCCCCGCGCTAGCCCCGAACGGCCCACAAACGGCCCCCCGCGCTCGCCTCGAACGCCCCCCCCCCCCCCCCCCCCCGCGCTCGCCCCTCTATGGCCGAGCCGCGCAGCGCGACCCCAGCTAAACCGCGCGACCCGAGCCGAACCGCGCGACCCAGCCGAGCCGCGCCGCCCTAGCCGAGCCGCGCCGTCCTAGCCGAGCCGCGCCCTCCTTACCTGAGCAGTAGCACCGCTACTACTACTGCTACTGCTACTGCTACTGCTACCGCTGCTGCTACTGCTACTGCTACTGCTACTACTACTACTACTTCTACTGCTACTTCTGCTACTGCTACTTCAGCTATGGCTAGCCCTCCAGTTCTCTCGTTCAATGCTAAGGGCCGCCCGATTAAGTTTGAGACCTGGCTCGATGATCTGCACCTGTTCCTCCAGCTCACTGCCAGAGAGGATATCTCGCTGTACGATCACGCACTAGGCACAGTCCCTACTCCTGCTACTACTGCTGCTGCTATTGCTCGCTCACAGTGGCAGACTCGCGATGCCCACGCCCGCTTTGCTATTCGCAACTCCCTGCAAGTCGACGAGCGCGAGCACTTTGGCCAGCATCAGACTGCGCAGGCCCTGTACACTGCTGTAGTTGCGCGCTACTCCTCCCCGGCCTCAGCTGCACTAGGCCGCCTCTCGCTTCCCTACCTGTTCCCGGACCTGTCCGCCTTCCAGACAGTTGCTGACCTCATCACTCACCTCCGCACTAGTGATGCCCGCTTCCGTGCAGCCATGCCCGCTGAGTTTCTTGCCTCCAACCCTCCGCCGCTCTGGCTCACTCTCTACCACCTAGTCACCCGCCTCCCTGACACTCTGCGTACAGTCAGGGACCACTTCCTAGCTCGCTGCCCCACTGAGCTCACCATTGCCGCCCTAGAGAAGGAATTACTTGCAGCTGAGAAGAGTGTTGTAGCTGTAGGTGCCTCTCGTGGCGACCCCCGCACCCCGTTCTTCGAGGGGTGTTCCCCTTCCCCCCTGCTCCCCTCTGTCGCCTCTGCTGCTGCTGTCGACCTCCTTGGTGCTGAGCAGGTCGGGTCCGCGTCCGCTCCCACGGGCGCCGCAGCGGAAAGGGCAGGGGAGGCACGGGCGGCGCGGGTGACGGCGGGGGAGGCGGTGGTGGGGGTGGTGGCGGCGGTGGAGGCGGTGGCGGGGCTGGAGGGGCTAGTGGCAGCGGTGGGAGTGGTGGAGGCAGCGGCGGCGGCGGTGGCCGGGGTGGGGGCGGTGGTGGGGGCGGCGGTGGACGTGGCGGCGGCAGGGGCGGTGGTGGTCGTGGTGGCGGTGGCGGTGGTGGTCGTGGAGGCTCTGGCACTGGCCAGAGCACGCAGCACCCTCAGTCCTCCCAGGAGCTTCGTGAGTGGTACTTACAGCACGGGGGTGGGGGGGGTAGCCTTAGCTGCACGTACGTCATCCGCACTGGTCGCCGCAAGGGACAGACGTGCGGGAGGGCGCACACTGCGCAGCGCTGCTTCTCTCGCCTAGATGACCAGTACCTGTGTGTTCCGCCTGACCCAGGCATCCGCACGAGTGAGGCTGCCGCCCTAGGTGCTTGCGTGTCTGCTGCCCCAGGTGATGGTGAGGCTACTGCTCTAGGTGCTTGTGTGTCCGCCACCCCAGGTACTACTGAGTCCACTGAGGCACTGCACACCTTCACTCTAGACTCAGGCGCTTCGCGCTGTTTCTTTCGTGACCGCACTGCTCTTGAGCCCCTTGCTCGACCAGTCGTTGTCTCGCTCGCTGACCCCTCTGGGGGTCCGGTCATTGCGACCTCCTCCACTGTCCTTCCTTGTCCTGCTGTCCCGTCGGGCACACTGTCAGGTCTCCACCTCCCCTCGTTCTCTACGAACTTGGTGTCGGCTTGGCTCTGGCTCTGTCTCTTGGCGTTCTACTCGCTCTTCTTCTGTTCTCAGCTCCAGCTCTGAGGCTGAGATCTACGCCACGGCCATGGCTGCCCAGGAGCTTCGCTGGCTCACCTACCTGCTGACGGACCTTGGAGAGCAGCCTCGTTCTCCTCCAGTGCTGTACGTCGACAACAAGGCAACCATTGCCTTGTGTGACGAGCACAGACTGGAGCACAGGACGAAGCACATTGCTCTGCGTTACTTTCTAGCTCGAGAGCTACAGCAGCTTGGTCAGCTTCGTCTGCGTTACGTGGCCACTGAGGCCAACACTGCTGATGTGTTCACCAAGGCGCTTCCGCCTGTTGACCATCAGCGTTTTTGCACTCTTCTAGGCCTTGTGCTGACTGGACCTCACTTGCTTACTTCTTGACTTTGCCTGTACTGTGATCACTATATATATCTATACCTGCATGTTTACTCTTGCTAGGTTGTGATCATTGTACTTCTTGCTCTATTATAAATCTGCATGTGAACTGGTCTTGTGACCGCTTGCTTGTGCTCGGAATTTGTGTGGAATCCTCGAGATCCACCCTGAGCTTGTTTGCCTTGCTTTACCTTGACTGGTCTTGTGACCCCTAGGTCTCCCCCACTTTGCCTATGGGGGTGTGTCAAACATTATATGTTTATGTGGTTCTAGGCTGTAGTGGGTTACACCTTAGGGGGTACACCAAATTAGGGTTTCATATTTGTACTCTTGTTCCTGTTAGTCACACCATTCTCGTTTCTCATTCTGACAGCTTGGCCGGCAGGCAGGCGCGGGTAGCGCGCGTGGGGCAGGTGCTCACCAGGGGCGGGCAGGGCAGGCGCGACGACAGGGCCGCAAAGGCGGCGACGGCGGCGGCCGCGACGGTGGGGCCGCGACGGCGGCTGCAGGCCCGACGGTGGCAGAGCAGGGCCGCGACGGCGGAGACGGCAGGGCCGCGACGGCAGCTGTAGGTCTGGGGGCCGCGACAGCAGTTGCAGGTCAGGGGCCGCGACAGCGGCTGCAGGTAAGGAGCCGCTACGAGGGGCGGGTAGGGCCGCGACTGTCAGAATGTTATTCATATGTTCTAGCCTGTAGTGGGGTGCTCTATAGCGAGTACAACCCTTCTAGGGTTTGCTATTTGTATCCCCATTTCTGCTAGTTCACCCTCTTCCTTCAAACTTTAACATGGAATCAGAGCAGGTCCCTTCCTAGGGCCTGTTCCTAGGGCCCACCGAAGCGCGCCCCGAGGCGCGCATTTTTTTTTAGCGACCCTCCGAGTCGCCCCTCCCGTCGTGCTCCCGCTTAGGCCCCTCGTCGGCCCCCCCGCTTAGGCCCCTCGTCGGCCCCCCGCTTAGGCCCCTCGTCGGCCCCGCTTAGGCCCCTCGTCGGCCCCGCTTAGGCCCCTCGTCGGCCCCGCTTAGGCCCCTCGTCGGCCCCTGCTTTGGCCCCTCGTCGGCCCCGCGTACCCCTCGTCGGCCCCGCGTAGGCCCCGCGTACCCCTCGTCGGCCCCGCGTACCCCTCGTCGGCCCCGCGTAGGCCCCGCGTACCCCTCGTCGGCCCCACGTAGGCCCCGCGTAGGCCCCGCGTACCCCTCGTCGGCCCCGCGTAGGCCCCGCGTACCCCTCGTCGGCCCCGCGTACCCCTCGTCGGCCCCGCGTACCCCTCGTCGACCCCGCGTACACCTCGTCGGCCCCGCGTACACCTCGTCGGCCCCGCGTACACCTCGTCGGCCCCGCGTACCCCTCGTCGACCCCGCGTACACCTCGTCGACCCCGCGTACACCTCGTCGGCCCCGCGTACACCTCGTCGGCCCCGCGTACACCTCGTCGGCCCCGCGTACACCTCGTCGGCCCCGCGTACACCTCGTCGGCCCCGCGTAGGCCCCGCCCAGGCCCCGTCTCGGCCCCGTGTCGGCCCCGCGTAGGCTCCGTCGGCCCCGCTTAGGCCCCTCTTCGGCCCCGCGTCGGCCCCACCTACGCCCTGTCGGCCCCGCGCTGGCCCCGCTTAGGCCCGCCACCGGCCCCTGCTACAGCCCGCCGCGTCGGCCCCGCCTACAGCCCGCCGGCCCGACTAGGCCCCACTTAGGCCCCTCGTCGGCCCCACTACAGCCCGCATCGGCCCCTGCTACAGCCCGCCACCGGCCCTGCTACAGCCGCCACCGGCCCCTACTACAGCCCGCCGCCGGCCCTGCTACAGCCCGCCACCGGCCCTGCTACAGCCGCCACCGGCCCCTGCTACAGCCCGCCACCGGCCCTGCTACAGCCCGCCACCGGCCCTGCTACAGCCGCCACCGGCCCCTGCTACAGCCCGCCGCCGGCCCTGCTACAGCCCGCCGCCGGCCCTGCTACAGCCCGCCACCGGCCCTGCTACAGCCCACCACCGGCCCTGCTGCAGCCCGCCGTGCTGCACGTGAGCAGCCCCAGCAGCCCGCGCCGCCCGTCAGCCCCTACGCCACCCGAGCCGCGCGAGCCGCCCGAGCCGCCCGAGCCGCCCGAGCCGCCTGAGCCACGCGAGCCACCTGAGGAGCCGTGCTGCTGTCCCTGAGCTGTGTTCCTCTGCTGCTGACCTACCCGACTCTTCCAGCCCGGTGAGACTTTCAGCTGCTGCCATGGCCACCCCCAATGTTCTTACTTTTGACGCTGAGGGGAGGGCCATTGACTTTGCCGTCTGGATTGAAGACCTGCAGCTGTACTTACTGTGTGATGCGATAGATGAGGTCTCTCTCTTTGACTTTGTCTCTGGAGCTGTCCCTGCCCCGCCTGCTGATGCTGACTCTGCCGTTCGCTCCAAGTGGGCGACCCGCGATGCTGCTGCACGTCTTGCTGTGCGTCGCCACCTCCCTTCCTCTGAGCGTGCCCACTTTAGTCAGTGCAAGACCGCTCAGGCCTTGTACGACGCTGTAGTTGCACGCTACTCCTCTCCTTCCTCCGCTACCCTTAGCCGCCTCATGCTACCGTTTCTCTTCCCTGACCTCGCTTCCTTTCCCACTGTCGCTGACCTCGTTACCCACCTCCGCACTAGCTTTGCTGATAATTGTGCACTTGAACTATTGCTTCTTGAACTTGTGCTCAGAATGTGTGGTGACATTGTGATCCACCCTGAGCTTGTACTGCTTTGCCTGCTCTGCTGATTACACCCCACTTTGGCTATGGGGGTGTGTCAGAATGTTATTCTTATGTTCTAGCCTGTAGTGGGGTGCTCTATAGCGAGTACAACCCTTCTAGGGTTTGCTATTTGTATCCCCATTTCTGCTAGTTCACCCTCTTCCTTCAAACTTTAACAGCGACGTGCAGCAAAGCAAGGCAGGCGCGCAACGGCGGCTGCATGGAGGATAGGGCCGCAACTAGCGGCTAGGTCAGGGCGCGCAATGGCGCAGGTGAGACAAGCGCGACAGCGCGCTTCAGGCAGGGTAGAAAATTTTCGTGGTGGGCCCTAAACAAATCGTTCCCACTAGGGAACTTGCTCTGATACCATGTGAAAGTAGAATGAGGAATGAGATGAACTAGCAAGCAGGTGGGTACAAGTATGGAAACCTATAAGTGTTGTACCCTATATTGACTACCCCTCTACGGCCTACCGTAAGCCCCCGGATAGAAGCGCAGGCCTCGGAAAAGCGCCGGCGCTTATAAAAGGATGAGGGCGCTTATATTCGGTCCTCGATTATAAGCGCACCCCCTAGAAAAAGATGATATATTATAAGCGCATGTTTGTTTTTCGTTTGAAAACCTTTCAAATTTCAGAAACGAATTTCACATAATCAGGGAACCGAACTACAATTTCGATTTCCCACACTCTGAACTCATTTTTTGCGCGTCTAGTCAGCATGTGCTGTAATTCTGTCAGGGTGAGCTGGCAGGGAATCACTCCCTGCCAAGCTGCGCAAGAATCAGATTCGTGACCCTATATGTTTTCGACTCGATCACAATCAGCAGAACGAGATATACAGTTTGGTGTAAAACAAATATATATTCTTTTTGCCATTTTATAAGCGCCGGTGCTTATAAAATTCCTCAATTATAAGCGCACCCCCTAAAAAACAGTGTTTTTTTTATACCCCCAGGGGCGCTTCTATCCGGGGGCTGACGGTATATAGAATATGTCATATAAGTTTGACAGTATTCGCCGCAAAAATCACGGCGATACATCCCTGTGTCGTGAGGGAGCTGCTTGGAGCCTGTGAGAGTACGACAGCTTATGCCAGCTATGCTTGCTTGCCTTTACTTTATTATGCTATTTCTAGCATAGGATAATTATATGCATGCATGAATTGATGGATTTTCTAGGCTAGGTGCTTTCCTATATTTTATTATAGTTATAGCACCGAGCAAGGTTGCGTGCACCGAATGCTGGGCTTTTTGGTTGCCACCGAATTGCCTTCTACCGAATTCGGGAAGGCTCTGTTCGGGACGCTTCGCGACCCTCAGAACCTTCACGTAACACCTGGTAACTAGGCCTTGTGTAGAGCCTATATTCTGCCTCGTGTTGTACCCAGGTGTGTCATTCAATTCAAACTCTCTTTTCTGAGCTCGATCCTAGATCCTCACACTTGGTTATCAGAGCCTGTTTAGAAGCGAAGCTTGCCGACCGCTTAAAACTAGCTTTTAAAACCGCGGGGGCGACGACGGAAAGCGCCGATTTCGGGTACGTAAACCTGCAACCAGCATATAAACCTTCAACCAGCAGCACATTTCCCAGCCCCACAAGCTCCCCATTAGCTCCCATAACCTTGGCATTCCCAACACCAATTACAGGGAGCAAGGCACCTGAAGCAGCAGCCACAAACTTTATCTTCCCAGGGGGCTTCACCTCATCAAGCAAATCTGCCCGTGGAGTCATGTGACTCGTGCAACCTGAATCGATCACCCAATGAGTGAGGGGGTGCATCACAACCTTCCCAACTGAACCCACATCACCCCCACTCTCTTGCACATCCTCAACCATAAGGAACATCCCAGGGTCGGCTTTACCTTGTGCACCATCTCCTTGTGCACCTGAACCTTGCACAGCGCCACCGCGTGCACGTTCACCACTTGGCGGCTTCATGCCTGGAGGTGC